GAGTAAACGACCCTAATAACCCATTGGTTGAACTGGTTCAAGTGGCCCAACGGGTTCAGCGCTCAAAGAGCCCCGCATCAGTATCCTGAGATTGAGCAAGCTTTGGCATCATTCATCGAAGCTTTTATCTACATGTTGATAGTGACGGAGTGGTTGGAACTTTTTGGGGCCAATGGACCTTTGGCGATGGCCGAGGAGTACCTGGATCCCACGAGCAACTGCACTGCCTCTCAAAGCACCGAAAGAGTTTCCTCCACTTGCGAGCACACGTCCAAATTGATCCAATCTTCTATTGGTCCGCCACTGAGCTGAATTGGGTCTGTGTATTCTACATAAACTATTGAATTCTCCCAAAGTAATCCACAGTCGATTCAACCTGATTTGAAGTGAGGATAACCTAAATATCCCGAACAGTTAAGGCAATTGTGGTGAGGGATCGATCGTGATATCCTAAAATGTTTTCTGTTGTGACGCTACCATGTCTAGAGCTAGTGTCTCATTCATATCACCCTCTTTCATCACCAAAACTGGCCCCACTGATGTTGCTCTGTTGGCAAGGGCACTTAAAATCTCGGGCTCCACCGAAACAAGAAGAATGATGTACTTCTCATCCTTGGTACATGCTTCTGAATCAGTTGACTGAGTCATGCATTCATATTTCCACGATCTCCCCACTTTTCCAAGTGGCTCATCCTTGAAATATGCATATGGCATTAAATCAAAAAATTACAAAAAGTATGCAGATAAAAAGTGGCTCATCAATAGGGACCACGTCGCATCAACCTGATCTTATAGTTGGCTTCAATCAAGAACTTCAGTAGGCTTTTTTGGTCAATGTTGATCTCGTTCTCCTTCATCCATGTCAGAGAATAAAGCTAGAAATGTTTCTGAGCATGAGGCCTAATTTCTCTACAATATACGTATATGTCACATTCTTGCTGCTTCATTCATCGATGATGAGACCACATCTTCCCGGTCACAATACAATGGTTGTAGAAAATGATGTAGCAAAGCCACTGCAGATCCCTCGTATCCTCAAACTACAAGACCCGTCAAACCACGAGCATCTCACCCTCTTATACTAGAAGATGATACACCTCACCTTGTCCTTCTCGTCGCTAACCTCCTCTACAATGCCCTCCTCGGTAAAAGACGCGACTCTGCTCGTCAGACAACTGGAGGCAATGTGCCCAAATTAATGACATCTAAAACACTTTCGAGCGGGAACTGTAAAAAGTGTGCTACTTTTCTCAGGTTTCTTCTCACTCAGGATAGCTCTGTCCTTATCAGAACCAGCTTTATCAACTCCCTAAGGTGTGTTCCTGCTGGTTTCTCTAACTGAGGGTGGTTTTTGGAATGGTGGTGGTTGAATTCTGTCTCTCCATCTTAAGAGAGAAGGTTTTATCATCTCTCAGTGACCAATAAGGTTGCGGTTGCACCATATTGTTGATAGCGAACTTCAAACCCCTCAGATAACGAGCTATGATATGTTCCTCTAGCTCGACTAACTCACACAACATCTGCAACTGGTCAAAATGCATCGTGAACTCCACTGATAGGTCTCTCTGTTGCAGGTGGTGGAGTCTCAGAAATATATCATGGAAGTAGTAAGGTGGTAGGTATTTTCTCTACATCATCTTCCTCATCTCCTCCCACTTGGTAATCATGTCATTGCCTCCATTCTTCCTCTGACTCTGCAAGTTTTCCCACCACAAAAAAATGCTCTTTCACAATTTGATAGCTGGAAGCTTCACTCTTTTATCTTTTGGCACTCAAAGATCATCTTAACTGATTGTAGTCATTTAATAAAGTCATTCAGATCCATACCTCCATCAAAGTCTAGCAAATCTACCTTTATTTCGAAGTTCATGTGTCCTCCATAAGTGCTCCACTCTCGGCCTCCTCAGAGTTGTGGCATGTCGCCTTCATCAATGAAATCCTCCTAATGGAAGGGGTTTAAATTCCCATCTCTCTCCCCTTCTACTTTCCTTATCACGATTGAGGGTAATTTTCCCTGGGTTTCACCCTCAATTTCCTTAAGCCACCGCTAAAGTCGATGGATCTCTCGTTGTATCTCTTCTTGGGTAGTCCCGGACATGTATTTCCTTAATGACACGATTAGAGTTCAGATTTGGGAGGTGAAAGAGGGTGTGCCGGATTAATTCAAGGTATAGGAAAATTAATTTAGGTGGTTGTAGCAAGGGGAAAGTAGGATTAGGTCAAACTTTTTCTATGGTTTGGGACTATGAAAGAAAATTTTGGTGAAAAGGGTAAGGTGAATGTAGGAAAACCTAGGATAAGACTAGGATTAGGCTAGCTCTGATACCAACTGATACCTGAGTTAACCCAAACCACAATAAAAATATAAATATTATAGTTAAAATTCAAAAGGTTAAAACGAAGACTCCTAAAAAAACAAAACAACGCAAACACATGCGACCCTCCAGGGTGAGAGCGAGAATGAAGGGTTGCCAGCTGGACGATGACTATAAGGGTAAGGTGGAGGGTAGCCAACAGGTTGGTAGATTGAAAGAGGGGGCCAGCAATAAGGCGGATTAGGGCTGATGACAGCAGCTGTAGGGGGAGAAAAGAGAGGAAGGCATCAGCTCTAGGGGAGAAATGAGAGGACAACAACAACTATAGGGGACAAAGAAAGGGAGGGTAGCAGTTGAAGGGTGGGAGGGTAATTACGGCAACAACAGTAAGGTGAGAAAGGGGGATTGTGGCGGTTGTCTGGTAGGTAGAGGGGTTGGCGGTTAGGAAAACGGGAAGGAGGTGCAGGAAAGATGACAGAAAGGAGAAAAGGGGAAGATATA